GACCGCGGTTCGTGTCCCAGACCCAGTGGCTTAAAACTCACGCCGGGCACGTGTGCGTGCGTGCCCAAGATCCCGAGAGGAGAAGGGATTGCGGCGTGACCATCCCCCCGCAGGGGGTGATTTCTCGCTTTCTGTCTCTATGTCTCTCTCTGTCTGTCTGACAAGTGCATGCGCTCTATAGTGAAAAAACCTCCCCCCACCCCAAAAAAAAGGAAAAAAAATTAGGGGGCAGCAAATGGCATGGTGGTTAAGATGCTGGATTCCTACCTGGCTAACTGTGGTTCAAGTCCTGGACCCAGTGGCTTGCTTTCTCTCGCTATCACTGTCCCTCTCTCTCTCAATCTGTCTCTCTGGTCAAAATGAATAATAATAATAATAAATAAAATTAAGTAAATAATTTAAAGAAAAAAATCAGTGCAAACAATTTAAAAACCTCTCTCTGTAATTTATCTACTTTGAGAATAGATATCAATTGTTTAAACCCTTTTCTCAAGAAGTATCCCTATGCCTTGAAAACCTGAGATGACAGTAGATACTAATTCCTTGTAAGGATCCAGCAGGAGGACAGACCTGTGGTCTAAAGGTCTAAGGAGCTGGGTCCCACATGGCCAACCCCACAGTTTGAATCCCAGCTCGGGCAGCCTGAAAGACACAAGCCTGTGTGTGTGTCCCAAGTCTTGATGGGATGACGAGATGGAGGAGAGGGATTGTGGTGTGACCATGCCCCATTGTGGGTGCTTTTTCCCTCTCCCCTCCCTCTGCCAAGCACACACACCCACTGGCAATTGAAAAAAAAAAAAAAAAAGGCAGCAGTTCCCAGTTCTCTGGGGAATATTTCTGCGTTTGACACAGGTGGAAGATAGGCTGTCAGGATGGTGTTTGCTGGGCTACACTCAGATTTTCTTTCCAGAACGTGGATAGGAGACTAAAGGATGATCAAAATGGGATAAAAAGCAGACAGGGGTAGACAGGGCACAGAGACATCCTCGTGCCTTCCATGTTACATTCCCGCTCCATGAAATAAAAACAGGAGGGACCCAACTGGACTGCGGGGCCTTCGCATTCTCCCTCTCACTGTCT